ACAATTTTAGCACAACTTGTAATAAATCGAATGGGCTGTAGAACTGCATACCCGAATTTTTCTCAAGAAATGCGGATTAAAAAGTTTGAAACTTTGATCATCACTTTTTAAAATTCGGTGATTTTTTATAAGATTTAAATCTTTGAATTACTTGGGTTTCTTTGTGGCCAAAGTTATATTTTTGTTAAAACAAACTAAAATAAATAAAGAAAAACTGTTAAAACTTATAAAAAAGTAGTGTCCCTAATTATGTGGCCACCACTGTACACAGAAAAGATCAAATAACGTTGTTTATAAGTATATATGCATGTATGTATGAAGGGTCTAATATGCAATATTTTATGATTTTTTATTGCCTTTTAAAATACTCCTCATACGTACCAAAAAGCGTGAAATATAAAGAATTTGTAGTTATTCGCGATATAGCGTTTCGGGAAACTTAATTCTTTACATCAATATCCCGTCAGAATTGGATATTAATATGGTCAAATAAGCTATCTAAAACTTGTCACAGTAACCATTATAACTGTAACTTCTTTATATTCTCCGTTCTTTCTAACTAATTATGTACATTCATATAGTCGCATGCATGATAAGCAAACAAATACATCGAGCTGATTTATGATTTCCGAGTTGTGAGCTTAAAAAGCTCGCTGACGAATCACTCCTGCAGGAACACTCGCGAAGCTTGATTTTATTCTTCAATGACACTCTAACCCATATGTTTTCCTTCGTTATTTTGACAATTAGGTTCCATTATGAGATTTTATTAAATTTTGCAATTCCACTGAGTTCTTTTTTTGTAGCTGACCGTTATACTATGTGTTTGCCTTAGACACGCATTAAATTATTTGTTCTATCTATGGACTATGTTGAATTAAAAACACATAGGTTTTGATTAATAAAAAAATAAACATACATACATAGCATATCAAAGACATATGTATGTATGCCACACAACTATCGCTTCTACTTAAATTTTAATCTTTCACTTTCCTTTTCAAAATTCTTTTCTCAACTAAATTTTTTATCGTATAAAATAACTAACAAAACTTTTGTCGATAAATTGGTTAACTAACTACAAATGCTTACTAAAACGTTATGAATTAAAAAACAAAAAAAAAAAAATTATTAAAAAATCTCGTAATCACACCACGTAACTACAGCCGCCCGGCGTTTTGTAGAAGAGATGTTGTGGTCGCATCACCCACCACAAGATAGGCGGTGACACACACGGCCACGCTCCTCACAATCATGCGTCAATTCTTAAAAGGCAAATAATGTCAGAACACAAATGTCAAATGAGCGCACAGCACAATTGCACAGAATTCACCATTCGTAAACGTAAGAAGTTCATCTCACTGTACGTAAGAAATTATGTAAATAAACACAAAAACAAAAAATGGCTTAATTAAAAGCCATAACTGTTGTAAACGTAAACGCGCAAGCAAACGTAAATCGTAAACGTAACTGTAATGTAGCCGCTGCCCGCTGCTTTGGTAAGTACCCAAGTGCTATATACACCTACTACTTACTGTACAGCATTTAAGCTGCCAATCGTCGCTTAAGCATCGTCAAAGTGATCGAAGAATGTACTTAAAAAGTTCATACGAATCGTTCATCGTTAAAGCATCGAATAGCTTACTTAGAGCTCTTCTGAAGAGAATATGTAGCAGAATTACAAATTTTTGTTTTTAATTTCAGAGCAGAATTTTAACATATGGATTAAAAAAAAAAACTAAAAACTAAATCTGATTTCCTGCTAGGAATGGCAACGCTGCGAATATGAATTTCTTTATAACCACTATCTTATTAAGTTCTTCTTTTAATTTTTTGCTTAATAGGTACATATTGTATTTGCATTGCGAAATAAGTATATTTTTATCTACTTCGTAATCCACAGATACCACCAAATACACGCGTACGATTGTAGATTAAATCAAAAATACTATGCGGTCAATTTTAATGCCTTTGCCGAGTGAAACTCCCAAAATGTGTCTGAATGTATAAAATATTAAAAAAAAAAAAAACAAAACGCCACATGAAACACTATATCGACCAAAACACCAATCACAACACGTTACTACAACAAAACAACGTTTTCGGGACGCACTCGAATCATGCTTAAAAAGCGCTTAATTCTCATGCCAAGTACTTACCACCACTCTGGTTGCTCGTGTCTCTCGAATTGGCCGCTTCTTCTCCTTATATTTTCACTCACTTATCGTTTGTTTGTTAATACGTACGTACTATGTAAATAGAAGGTAAAGAACTGTTAAATCACTTTCGAACTTCTGTACGCTTGCTAGCCCACCACCGCTTTTCTAGTGCTAACGCTTTTTGCTGCATAAAAAATAAAAATAAAAACTTTATATATAATTAATTTTTATGAATTCGAACATAAACAAAGAGCATGTAAAAATTGTAAGCATACCAAAAACTACCGTTAAATTCACACCTTTGTACTTTTGATAAATATTTTTGAACTTTTTTCACACTCATGCTTGAAATACAATACCGGCGAACGGCAAACTTCGCCGAATTGGGCGATGCTGTCGTTCACCGTTCGCCCAACTATTTCGCCTACTTAAACAGAATTAGAGCGGTAGCGAAAACAGCTGATCCCATTTGGTCGCCTTTATAATTTGGGTGACCATATTTAGAAAAAACTAAACCATATTTAGAAATGAGGAAATGATAACAAATATAAATGTAAAACAAAGAAAGATTATTATAAATAATTTGTTTCAAGCCAGATTTAACGAATCCACAACTATATTTTTCAAACAACAAAAAAAAAATCGTGTTTAGGTTGTTTTCTTTTTAAACTTTGAAAGCACAAAACAAATACGGCCACCTTTGGCACGCACAGCTGTCATCGCCCAGCAGAGCGATAGAAATAAATCTATCGCCATGAAACGCCGCCAAGCGAACTTCGCATTTCGCTTTGGCTGTGTTCAATTTCATATGCTTGCGGGTGTTCTAATTTTGACAGCGCGAATTTCGCTGTGGTGAGTTCGCCGTTCGCCGGCATTGTATTTCAGCTATTAGCCGTTGTATTGTAATCTCACCTCTCGGTAAACTTCGTAGCTTTTTGGCGCTTTAACGTAATAGCCTTAATCGTATTTCATATTTCGTAACTGCGTAATGCATTTTTGGCTTACGCAACACCTTCCTATTTATATCTCAATTTATAAAGTCTAAAGTCTGTCTCTGTCTCTATTTCACTCTATGCCTATCTGTCCATGCTTTACGAAGAACTTTTCTTATTCCATTGATTATTCTTTTATTTATATTTTATTAAAACTTTATACATTCTACTTATAACTTCGATCCACATCAGTAAATCAGTAAAAATTCTACTTATTAGAAGCATATCACAATTATTATCTATTTTGTGTAAAAACCATACATACGGAGGCTAATATAGAATATTCAAAACCAAATATGTAGCTAAATCGAAGAGAAATCACTTGCATCGTATAAGAGTGTAGCGGCAAAAAACAATTTAGAAAATATTTACGTATGTATGTATGTACCTGTGGAAATTGATCGGGCATCGAATTAAATTTCTAATATACCAGGGGCTAGATTCTGTAAGTGTGAGAAAGTGTAGTGTACACCGAGTGCAAAACTCCAAAAACCAAAAACTCACCGAATAAAATTCTGTATTTTTCGAAAGAGAAGTGTACATAATTTTGACTGCTAAAACTTATTCTCATACTTGCTGAATCGCAAAATGAAGAATGTACACAATTTCCAGTGTACACTTGAAAACTCCCAGTTACAGAATGTACCTATGTATATGTATTACCAACTAAAATTACAGAAGAATTATTCTCAACAGGGGTCTTCACACCCATTTCGGTCGTTTTGGTAAACTAGCAACTGTGCCCGTGCTTTTCAGCTGATTCGTAGCTTTTTTCCTAAAAAAAAAAGAATTTCAAGAGAAAATTTATGAATTTTACTTACGGCTTACGCATTACGTCTTTCGGCAGCGGGTGAATTTAAAATCGAATTAATGTCGAACAGCTGTTTACAAATTACCGAATAGCAGAATAATTATCAAGCTTTCCACCAATAATTAAATAATTTTGCACAAACAAAGTATATAGGGAAAATTACGGAACATCGAGTCCCGGAGTATGCCGACTGTTTCACACTAAACCAGCAGAACCAAATGTGTATACGTATAGAAAGTTTGAGTGTATTTGTTAGTGCGCTGCACCAGAACTCCTACTTTAATGCGGGGTTGAAGTTGAAAAAAATTTTTTGAGAAAAACATCCATCTCTCGACCGCCTCTCTTGCCTACAAACAGAATTGTTCTGGTGGTCCACAATATTTTATACCGAAAGCGTTCGGGTTTTAAAACGTCATATTTTTCTGAAGATAGGTTTGCTTATGTACGGAATTTTTCTTATAACACGGCCTTATAGTTGAGATAGATGGATCTGATTTACCTTCTAACTTCAGTTCAGATAGAATTTTTGGTACAGAGAGCATTGATGGGCATATGTTTTTTTATTCTTCTACCAATCCACTCGGTAGTGATTTTTGGTCGACCCTGTGAATAATTGCTAAGAAGGCGGCCCAATTTCTTATATGCAGGTTTTGACGACTTTAAAGATATCTCTCGGTATTTTATAAGAAACAAATCGGTATTATAATGTGAGTGGATGGGGCAGTTGTTACCTTTCTACTGCCACGGGTCCCCTTCGGGGCCTCTTCATTACTATTAACGATACTTATAAATATTACTCGGATAAATCTCGCTAGAAGTACTAAATATTTAGTTGAAATCGTTGCGTTATTCGTTACCCATCAATTTCTGCAGGACTTTCATTATATCTATACCAGCATATGTATGTATCAACTCAAGTAGATATCTCACTATTTTTTCCGCTTTTCTATACCAAGAGACTAACATAATTTCTTTTATTTTCCCCAAAATACACAACCCAAACAATCTTTGTTGAAATATATGCCTAAAACATAACAGATGGGGTCGAGGTCCTCGCCACGGATCGTTAACCGGTCAGCATCCCACCATTATAGACTATCGGACGGGATACATAAGGTCCCATCTTCGGTCACCATCTGGCCGTGTGAGATGACTGACATGTCGCCTACTGGATTTCTACTCAATAATCAGCATCAACATCAACATCAAACACATCAACAATACGGCGGCTATTCCACATCGTCGGGACTGCACTCGAGCAGTCATAGTCACAGCAGCAGTTCAACGACACGTGCACCACCAATTGGTAGTGGCGGCGGTGGTGTCGGCGGTCGTTTGTTTCCCTACTTTGGTGGTGAACACGAGCGTGAGCGTAAAAAATCCGAAACGTCGTTTTTCAATTTGGGCTTTCGGCGTAAATCGACAGTAGTTTATTATGCTTCCACTGATTAAAGGAGGATTAGCTGCATAAGAGTGTGACACACTGCGGTTAGGAGAGCAAGTGAATGATTCGAATTTCAGACTGTAGCGAGTGGTGCGAGAGAGCAAGGTATTAGTAGTTTTTCGTGGAAATTAGTAGGTACTTGATGTTCGATGAATGTTGATAATTGTGCAAGGAAACGAAAATTAAAAAAAAACGAAAAAGAATTTATATTCCGTAATTGTGGTTTGAATTTATGCAATTAATATTATTAGATATGCAAAATTAGTTATTAAATGTACTAAATATATGTTGAACGATTCGAAATACATACCAATTACGTAATGTGCGAAAGTACTTAAAATTCTTGAAAGATATCAATAACTTATTTGAAATATGAGCCGTAGTAAATTATTGTAACGGCCCAAAAAAAAAACATACTCCATGAAAATATTGTCGTTAATATTCAATATATATACACCACCTTTAAGGTTGAATCCGAGAAAAAACGATTTGCACGGTAATTAAAAGTTTACAAAATTGATTCTGCTCAATTAAAAATCTCGGAAGAGGACACAAAAAATATTAATAATTAAGTAAGTACTCAAATTATGAACGACCACAGTAATGTCTCAATTGTATTTATTTAGCGATTTTAATTAAATTAAAAAATATGTGTATGTACATATATACTTACGTATAAGTGTTAAACGATTTAATAAAAAAATTAAAAGTTATGTAAATTCTCTGTGCTAAAAATGTCTTTAGATTAACAAAAGATACTTTTCTTAACTGTTCATTGAAATGTGTAAAGAAATTCCGATTTCGCTACGTAAGCATGCTGAAGCAGAAATTAATATACACACAAAAAAAATTCGGGGGCGGAGACCACCTTTACTACTTTATTGGTAGATCTATCCACTTTTTAGACATATGTATTTGATTTTCTACCATTTTTACCAACAAAGGCAAAAGTTCTGCCAATATTTTCCGGAAAGTGAGAAAAAAGTTTTAAATGGTCTGGTAACAGCACCTTACATGAATACGTCTTGATTTATTCTTTACGAGTAGAAACTATATACTAATGCTTTTTTTAAACACGCCTGCCAACCTCTACACCATTTTTAGTATGTAAAAACTACCAATAATAATTTGTTCGCAGTCCGTGCACTGATCCCAATGAAGGACCACCTAGAGGTCTTTAGATACCCCACAAGGAATAGAATCTACCATGTAGCAGTCTTCATACTCGAACTTTTTTTGTGTGCCGGTGTTATCAGACCGTTGAAAATCGCTGGAATTTCTTTTGGTTTTTTTTTTGTCCTCCCAGTAAACTCTTTGGGTTATTCCGCATTTCAAAGTTGTGTACATACTTTTTTATTTGGTTAGTTATCGACTAAATGAGGCTATTTAAAATATGTACCTACAACATTGTTCTAATATACTCCGAAAATTGTTTTGGCATTTCGATCTAAGGATTTCATAGAAATAGTTTCAAATACAATTGTGAATTAAAAATCAGTAATCAAATACAAAAATAAAAGTGTTAAAGTAAAAAGTTTCGTATTGAGAATATCCGCCAAAAATGATCCAAATTAAAACGAAACAAGTTATCTGGCTTTCAGATAAATTTTTACAGTATATAAGCCATTTAAGAACTATAATGTACTGAGACTAAACTGATTACCTACTTCTACACAGAGCGAAAACCTTGTGATAAAATAGAACGAAAGTTAAATGATAACCCTGTTTTTTTGCAATGAAAACAAGAAATAATTCTCTCAGTTTTTATTAGATTTCATATTCAAAAACTAATAATAGGAACTGGAAAAAAAAACTGTACTCGAAGCCTAGATCTACTGAATGGCAGTTTACAGCTGGACCTATTCGGTTACGGTGATCGCCTTACCGACACTGTTCTCTTTAATAATATGAACTATTTGCCATATGGACTTTAAACGAAATTCCTTTTAATGAATTCAAGAAGACATTGCTTTCATGCATCAAGCAGATTTTCTCTACGTAATGAAATTTTTAAAAGATATAATACATAAAAACTATAAGAATTTTCACATAAAATCAATAACGAAACTCTATAGTATTTTCACGGTTTTTTCTTCGGTTTTACCACATAGCCTAGAAAAGTTTCTTGTTTCTCTTCGTCATATTTTTCACTGTGTAATAAGGCAATATTTAGCATTCTATTAAAATATTCTCCGTCTCTATTTAGATCAATTCAAGACTAAAATATCCAATTTCGTATCAGAATGAAAAAATAAGATGTTGTATCCTTAAGTCTTGTTCTCACTATAGCTCACTCAATAGCATTTGCGGTCAAATAAATGAAAATCCATTGTTATATGAGGCCGAAAAAAGGAATATACTCATTTCAAGTGATTTACATAAAAAAAAATCAATCGGTGAAGACAGTGAAATGTACTTTTTTGAGTTTTCTTTAACTGATTCGAAAAAATTATAAAAGGATAGTAATTTCAGTTCAAAGGGTACTCACAGATCAACACATTTGTAAATTATGACTGCCAATCACTGCACTTCTCTAGCTGACAAATTTCATTGTGAATGGCTACTCAATCAAGAAAAATGAAAAGGTGTTTAAGAGTTTACGCTTAGCGCAGCGGTTGGCGTTTCTAACTTTGCACATCGTTCATTTTACTGTTGTTCCTTTTTATATAATAAGTTTGTATTGTTATTGAATAAAGCATAATTTTAAATTAATAGAATTGACTTGTTGAATTGGTACACTGACAATTTTTTGGTATATTCTGCTTTTATCATTGTCTCATTACTTTCATAATATATTTGGTTCTCAGATAATGTACTTTGTTTTTGGGGCAATGAAATAGTTTGTCTTAGGTATGCTTCATTTTAAACATTTTAGGCTACAATGTAAACACATTTTGGCAATTTAGGCTGTTGTTACAGTGGAGGTTTAATTCACATTCGGCAGTTAACTTTAAATTTTTGACTAAAGTTAACTTCCGGGTGTAATGTGAGTTATTTAGGCGATTTTAATACGTTAGCAGGATTCGCTGTAGTGAATACAAGCGTATGTATATTTTTATTCAATGGAATTTTTATATTAGAATGCCGACATAAATAAAAATATTGACCTTAGTGGTACTTTCGAAAAAATGTGTATATTCTAGAAAAAGTCAAAAATATTTTTGAATTCCCGAAAAATTATGAGAAGAAATTCTTATTTCGAATTTTCTAGTTAGTCGAGTTAAGGAGCTTATTTTTACGCAAAGATATAGCAATTAAATCGAGTGTTTTTTATCAAAATTATTTCGTGGAAATATACATTTATGTATACATATTTATATGATAAAATTGGTTAAATGACTTAAGTACATATACATATATCTTTAAAGTTTTTTTTTTCTATCAGAATATTGTTTTCTTTGTCTGGATAAAACGGCTGTAAAGCTGATACTAGATTGTATGTTAATAAAAGAATAAACATACTATGACCATAGTTCTTCAATCGCAGATATGAAGGTGGTATATTGTTGATATTTCTTGAAAACGTGATGTCATAGACTTAATTAAATTTTATCGGTTTATTTATGTAAGTGTTTGTAAGTTGTGAGATGTAACCGCATAGTTCCATGTTAATTAATTGTATATCTACATACATACATATATAGTCAAAATAATAATATTTATACTATATTACAACATTTTAACAATCGTGTAAGAAAATTGATAGAACAAAAAAAAAATAAAAACTAAATATTATTTAGTTCAATAACAAAAGAAATAAAAATGTTATAAGCAATTAAGCTCAAGAGTGGTAATACAAAAATACATCAAAATAAATGAGTGTAATTAAAGAAAAGGAAGAATTCGAAATTTGTAAGAAAGCAATACAAAGCAGGGGTAAGTCATTTACCGTTTCATTTCAGGCCATTTGATTTCAGTGATAATTTATCTGTATCTGAACGCCCCTGTTATTAGTTGAACTTCATCGGTCACAGGTAAAAAATTGTGTCATTAGCAGGGCTCGGATTTTGATGACCTATAAATTACGTGGTAAAAAATACCTCAAAAAATAACAAAAATTTCCTTAAACATCCTCAAAAATCACCCAAAAAATAAAAAAAAAACCGCAAAAAGATTAAATTTTGGCAAAAATTCTGCTGTTTAACTACACATAAGATAATTTTCAAATCATTTATCATCAGAGAAATACGATTTCTCGAGTCATTTCGCCCAAAGGTAATATGGGTTCCGGGACACTGCGGCATAGAGGGGAATTGTAAGGCTGACGAACTGGCGCGACTTGGCACGAAACTTCCTTTTGAGGATATAAACGACGAAATGGGAATACCCTTGCAAACTTGTAAGCTACTTATCTCCGAGAGGCTCACTAAAGTAGCCAACGAAAGGTGGCAGGACGAAATCACCTGCAAAACTGCCAAACAATTATGGCCGGTACTCAGCGCCAAACGCACTGGCCTACTACTGAAAGCCCAATATTCGATTGTTAGTATCCGTCATAACAGGACACTGCCTAATTGGCAAGCACGCCTATCGACTTGGCCTACGTTTACATGACTTCTGTAGAAGTTGTCAAGATTAAGAGGAGGAGGAAACGATTTTGCACCTGTTGTGCCAATGCCCTGCTCTATCTAGACGAAGACTCTCCACTCTCCGTAGGCAATTCTTCAACAACTTGGAAGACCTTAGATGCGTCTAAAATTCGCTCAAAGTTCAAAATGGTTTTAGGAGGGATTGGGAGTTGCTGACGCAACATGCGGCATCACAATGGGCCCTGAGCCTAAGTGTGTCTTATAGATGATCGCGACAACCTAACCTAAAAAGGAACCAATTTTTTTTTTTTTAATTTGATTAATTTTTTAGAAATTGTGCTAAAAGGTGTTGCCCATTTTCTCCAAGGCGAATTCATATAAGTTGGTATCGATTCAACAAATATAAAAATTATTTGTATTTGGTTTTCGTTTTTTAGCGGTTCATTGTCAATATAAAATTCGCGTATATAATGATTTTAAAAACACCAGCCAATAGAAACCAATCAGGATTCAGCGTTAGAATACGGTTAGACATCTAATCTTTTTCTCGATATTGAGAACTAAGTATGTAGAGAATGCTATAATTCTCGACAGTTTCTCTAATCGTCTTCTAACCTTCTACGGTAGAGATACACATTCGAATTCAAATCTTTTTCTAATCCTTCTCTAACCTAAATGTTTGTTGGAGTACTATTTCAACGTTACATTCGACTACCTTTGCCGCTAAAGTGCATTCAGTGTTAACAAAGGCTGAAAGGGAGGTACACAAAATTAAATAACCAGATAAGTTCTTTACAGAATAAACGCATAATATTGTGGGCCAGGTATCTTAAACTCATTGGGGGTTTTCACACCCCCAATGCTAAAATATACAACAGTGCTCAAAAACGACAAATAAAGCGGCTTATGTGGATTGGCGATAAAGTGTTAAAGTTAGGGCCAGCATCTCCACAAAAAACGGCTAGAAAGGGTTAAATAAAAAATGTTAGAGCTAAGAAAAGGGATAGTTTCATTAATCGCAAGATGCAACGAATACCAGAAATGCGAATTCCATTAACGTGTTACGGTGTGTACCAAGATAACGCAAAATGATGTCCGGCGCCTAATGAAAGGAGTTACATAATTTGAAACTGTGAACTTCCGCGTATTCCACGACAATATGGCGAAATAAACATATTAACACTTGTAGTCTCATAGCTATACTCTTTCAGAATAAGCCCTATATTTTATTATTGGTCAATAAATACGGATTTTGTACCAATTTTTAATAGACCAGTTTTTCTCGCATACACACCTTAATTTTTTACGTATCTATTATACGTTTTTAAATTTCCTATTCGGTTTTTTATATATTTTTTAATTATGAAATCTACGTATCTGCGAAATTTTTTGTAGTACTATTTCATATGCATAGCAGGATATCTTAAAATATATCAATTTAAATTTCTACATTTTCGCTTGTTTTATTTTCTTCACGTTTTCCACTTTGAAATTTTTACCTTTGCAATTGACACATCAAACATAGTTCACGGTGAAAAAAATGGTTTCATTTGAGAAAAAATATTCATAAATTCAAAAGCAAACAAATTTTTCAAATAAAATTCAAAAACGCTTTAAAAATATTAAAAAAAAAATAGATCCATCAAAATTTCGCCAAAATTATAAACAAATTTAATGGATATTATAGCGGAATTTAGAAAACAAATCCAATTTGTGAATTGAACGAGAAAAGCAAATACGATTTTTTTGCAGTTTGTTTGGTGTTGTTGTTTTGAGCGTTTTTTCCTGTATTGTGTTCACGAATCGTTAAAAATTAACCGAAAAAAAACAGTTAAAATAGCAGAAGAGCAAAAAAAATTGCAAATTTTCCTTTAAAAAAACATTCCAACTATCTCTAATCTTCTGCTTTTTCAAATTCTTCCCGCTTCATCTGCAGTACAATTTTTAAAATCAATAATAAACTATTTAAAAACTACCACTTTTTAAGAATCGGCGAAATAATTTCAACAATTACCAATCAACATTTGCGACTATTGCTTTGGAAGAGATTTATTTCAGGAATAACAAAATGAATAAGTACGGTAAGTAAATACTGATATGTGTAAATATGTATATATTTGAAAATTTAAAGCGACGAAATATTACGATTCTGGTTTAGTTTGTTTTGGCAAATTATAAAAGGAAATGAATTGTCTTGTGTAGAGGGGTCTGCAACCGATTTTCAATAATCGAGCTATGTAATTCTAGTAAAACGATCTTACGAGTTTGGAGTACAGTTTCAAAACAAATATTTAAATCCTTTCAATAGAAGATTAGTACATATAATTCAAGTATTATACTAATAGAAATTTGCTGCCATAATCGAAATAATCAGTATTTAAAATTCTAAATGTTAGACGAACTCCTTGTTGGCTAATACATCTAAACATCCCCTAGGCATGAACTGGCATACCCTCCTATTATTTCGTCCGAATCGATGTTGTCGTATGAAATCCGGTAGTCTGCGTAGCTGATTTGTGCTGGTTCTCAATAAGAAGTAAAAAAAACCACAGCCATTCACAACGAAACATCTGTCGGGCGTATGAAAATGATAATACGATTTCATACGATACGCTTGCAAGCGATTTTCGCGATTCTTATGAAAACTCATAATAGGCGGGATAGACTTCAAAATGTGCTCTTTAGTAAAATTGATTAGACCTGCAGGGTATTCTCCAAAAATTCTGCTTTATTTTTAGGATTAACTAGTATAATTTTCCTTTTAACAATTGACCTTAAAGTCTCGATTGGACACAGATTGGACACGTAACATCCGTTCACGAATCGAAAACCATACGAAAGAAAATTACGAGACAGGTCAGTCGTATGAGCTGAATTAGATAAAGAGTACGTTCACTTATGTTATAATCCGAAAAATGTATTTTTACATGACGAGTAATACGACATCGTATGTGACGATTAGAGCCTTGGCGATTGCGTTAATCAAGCCATAGCATAAAAAAAATGTATTTAGCCGGAACAGTTTAAAAACCCAAAATAAAGAAATATTCATAGAATCTAATCTAATCTAATCTAACTACTAAAACAAAACTAACAAACACGTAAAAACACTGTTAATTTACTTCAAATATTTTTATTGTCCAAAAGATATCGTTTTTCGATATTTTCAAGCTCTGATAAAATGGTTGTACAATTATAAAACAAATAAGTTGAACATGATTTTTTGTAAACATATAATTTATAACATTTTAATTGCAAGTGTTTCAGTGAAACTTCTGATGAGACCATGAGAACGAAAGTAGCCTAATATTTGGCCATATTCTCGGTCAAACTTAAGTCGATTATTAAATTAGTTTCAGCTTTTTCTAACAGATATTCCATTGAAATTTATTTCAAAAAGCTGCAAAGTACTTAAGTGTCGACTTTATGTTATATATGAATATAAATATTTTTTCTTTAACATTCTGATTTAATATTAAAAAAAAATACATATGTACTGTTACCCCCAAAATTGAACGTACAGCTCTTTTTTTTGTTAGTATTCGCAATGTTTTACATGCTAAAATTTGTTTCTCAATTTTGTTTTAAAATATGCCTTATATTTTAATCCCATTTAAATCCAAGAATCAGACTGTGTACAAAAATTAAGAAAAATCTGCAAAGTTTTAGCCAAGTGGCCAACTTTACGAATTTCTAAAAAGAATTTAGGTATGCAGTTTTATAGCCCATTAAATTTTAGTTTAATAATATGCAAATTCAGATGTCTAAAAATTCGCGTAAGTTTTAGAGATTTTTTTTGCTGGCTGTCCAACGCATTTCTTTCATATAAAAAAATTTGAAAATTAAAACTGCATACCTGATTTGTGTTTAGAAATTCGTTATAAAAAGGTCGCGATTTTGCTGATACTTTGTAGATTTTTCTTAATTTTTGTACGGAGTATCATTCTTGGATTTAAATGGAGTTTGCTAAAATATAAGCCATATTTAAGTACAAAATTAAACAAAAAAAAATTAGCGTGTAAAACATTGGGAATATTAACAAAAAAAGATATGTAGGCTCAATTTTGGGAGTAAAAGTATACATATATTCCAAAAAAGTGTAATTTTAAAAGGATGTTATTAAAAAATATAACAAAATGTCACATATTTTTTGTTTGTGGGTGTATGTAATTCAAGTAAAAAAGCTGATCCTGGTTATCATGGCCCCAATTCTTAAGCATTCTGAACTTAATTTTACACAGCAGGTTCAGGCATTAAATTTATTTTCAGTTTTAAGTCGGTAAATGAAATTTCACTCAAAACTGGCCCTTAAATAAATTATGCATATTTTTAATATTACATATGTACATACATAACTGCATGAACTTCGAGTCAGTAAAAAGCTTATACTAACTGTTATGGTTTACAACAAAAAGGCACATAATTGATACGTGTAAAATTCTATATAATATGTCTGTAAATGTATAAAATTGTTTATATGATTCGATATTCGAGATTACATACATATGCATGTCTTTTTGTATCTCTCTTCTGGACGGAGTCTATTTAATCGTATGTACGAGTTAAGTTTTTTTGTTTGCAAAAATATCGACTGAATAGCACAAGAATATGTATTCCAAATGCAATATTGTATTACGAAGCATTCTTGTGGTCATAAGTTTTGCAATTATAAAAAAAATACAAAAGACTAATAAAGTTCATAAAAAACTCAATAACCGTTTTTTCATCAAAGCCAACAACTGCAACTACATAAACTGGTGCAGATATTATTATTATCTTCATATTGGTCCGTATTGCAAAGCAGCGCACAGCTGTGAGCCATACGCCGCACGTTGGTGGCGCGAATACAATACAGCACGAAGCGCATCTTAGCAGAAAGCGGTGCAAAAACTAATCATAAAATGGAGTGTAATAAAAAATAAAAGCAGCAGGAGGAGGTACCACTCTTTTGCTATGCAAACCTATCACCGTCCTGCCTGTCTGGCTGCCTGCCTGCTTGTTTGCCTCCCTCCCTGACTGCCGATTAGGCAGCGAACACGACGCTCTTCCTTCTAGTGGTCAATCACCGAGCGCTAAATATGAAAAATGTGTGAAAATATTTTGCTGCAAAAACTTTGACCACTGCGAAGGACGACTGCGAAGCCTAAATCATGCGCATCGTCTCTGTTTTTTTTTTTTCTTCCGTAAATATTTTTTGATATCAAAGTTACTCAAAAACGCTATGTGCGCTATATTTTTTGCCGATTCAAAAAAGTAACGGCGTTTTTGCCGGACCAAGTGTTGAACTGGTTTTTTTGCTAGGCATAATCACCACTACTGGCGGCAGAGGAAAAAAGGTTCTCAGGGTGCAATTGAAGATAATAAAAATTCAGGCACATTTGATAATCAACTATGAAAAAATTTTAATTCATGCAAAAAATAATGAAAAATACAAAAACAAGGAAAGAGGCGCATAAAAAGTACACATCAGCGGATCAGACAGCACAGGAGGGTATATGTAAAAAACACACACGCACACCTTAAAAAGCGTCTAAGGTACAAGGCATACACGCAGACGGACATGCGCATGGACGACCCGGCGATTTGGCATGCCAGTAAGCGCATCTCGTTGTGTGGACAGTTCATAGAAAGAAGGGTGTAAGGCTGACAGCAAGCCAACACTAACAACAGCAACAACAAAAACAACAACAATGGGCACACTCAGCTTTGATCGCCTCTGAATGTCTAAGACTTTGCGACCACAGCTTTGAATGGCATGGCCAAATAAAGACTGAGAGTTTTCAATTGAGACACGGCACAGTGGATATATTTTCAACCCTTTCAAGACGCTTATGTTTCTAATGTACTCTCTTTGAGCTCAGCTGCTCAAAAGAAGAAGCGAGAATTAGTCGCGAGATGTTGTAGTAAGCGTGTGGTAGAGAGACACAAGAAAGCTAGTTTATTTGGCTTTTGATTGAACAGGTTTTCTTTTATTGCGAACTTTGTCGCTTTTGCAATGCCAAAGTATTTTTGTTAAATTTGCGCTCAGCGAACTCTGCCAATTTTGTAGTTTCTCAAATGCTTTACCCGTTTGCATTTTCGTGCCTTCTATTGATGGTAATATGAGCTCTGAAGGCGGAATTCGAAGCTGAAGTTGCTACTTGCTTAACGCACGTTTGCGCTTTTCTTCTGCAATTCTACCACTGCTTGCTGCCTGTCGATTACTTTCTGCTCCTCATCTCGCTGCTGTGCTATACAACAAATGACAAATAACTAGATGCATTGTAATAGATTATGTCTACAACTTAATCGCCTTGGATAAATGATGACACTGTTTCTCAGCACTCCTCACGTTTCCCCATTGTATTGCTATTGATGTTGTTGTTGTTAGCGACGTTGCTGCTGCTCATACCGCAGCCTTTGCTAGTAAATATTTCGCTTATTATTTGCAAATACTGTTGTTGGCAGGATGAACGGAAGGAATGTTTTTGCAGTGTGTGTGTTTTTTTTTGTTATTTGAGATTCTTGGTAGCTTATAAAAATATTCTACATACGTATTTCCTTATGTATGTATATACATATGTATATATTTATGTATGGATGTATATCTTGGCATTCAAACTTCTTGTGCAGAAGAGATAATTGTATGGTTGCTTATATGCACTTTTTTAGCTATCAAATACTCTTACTTACATACTATGTAGTACTTAAACCAAAATGGACGTATTGATTGTTTGTTACTGTGACGAGCGATTCAGGCACTTGTTTGTAAAATGTCACCCCTGCCGCCGCCCCAACATGTGCTACAGTTTCTTCACCTGAACTTATACATTAATATTAACGTTAACCCAAGCAGTGATACGATTAGCGAGATGGCGGCTTGCAATCCAGGCGCGCCAGCCAAACGGCAGTGGAATGTATCGTAACGTGATTGCTGATCGGCTACGATGTTTTGGTATTCAGCTTCTACCAGTTGACCGTCGTAGTAGGTGATCGGATCTTCGAAGGGGTATTCGTAGCCTTGTAAACATTCGCATTTGTAACCACCTGTTTCGTAGCCACGACCCATAATGGGTACACACTGCAAGCGGGTTAATGGAAAAATGTATATTAGGTGGGATAGAAGAGTAATTATTGAGCAAATAAAGGTATACAATTTTATTTTCTGCATTAGGAGGACTATACCTACATATTTTCAGGTATAATTTGAACTTACATATGACGTTCGGTCATCACATTTGTGCGTGTTTTTGAAAGCGTTGGGTTCAAAGAACCAATCAGGGCACTGATTAATGTCCAATTGCAACATATCCATCGAGACGGCAACCACACCCCTAAAAAATGACAAATGTTACATTTTAATAGCATTATAAGAGTATTCAATTGAACACGCATACAACGCATAATTCCTGACCCATATAATCGCTAATTGTTATTAAAATTAGCTGAATGCTTTGCCCCGAATTTCTATAGTACACTTGCACAAATGGCGCAGTGACTTTTAAAGCCACAATCAAACATATGAATAATTCATTTTTCAAAAGAATACACATCTATGTACTACATATAAGCATGCATTGTAAAAAATCCTTGCACAACAACAATTTCATGCAAACTCCTCAGAACAAATAAAACCAAATCCGGTTGTCCTGCTCTGTGCCAACTTATGTACATATATCTTTTTCTATGATTCGACTTCCACTTACTTGAATTCCAGTTTCACTTTAAGGCTATCCCAGCCAAAAAAGGGTGCCGCATAGGTCACGAGCCACTTCTTCACATAGCCATCACAATCGAATTGCGGTTGTGTCCAAAAGCCGTGCTTCAGGTTTGCCGCACGATACGAATTCGGGTAGTGTTCGTATTTTTGCATATATTCACCTGTCTCGTTGTGACGCAACTTCATTTTCATATAGAACGTTTCTAGGTCATCAAAGTTGGCGGACCAACGTTGTTTCAAAAACTTGAAATACTTCTTCTCCGTATATATTTCGTGCGTTTTGTTCAGACGTGCTAAGTCTTCGACTTTAAATTTGCGTGTATTCAATTCGGTTTTGTATGCGTATGGTGCAAAATAGGTGCGGTTGGTGAATTTGTTGCGTTCCCAAAACATGGCAGCCGACCAGACCTTTGTGTCGCCCAAGACAATGGCCAGTGTCTCGCCGATCATTTGATCTTCGGTCAGCGGTTTGTCGGCCACACGTTTGCCGGTGTACACCTCGTTGGGATCAGAAATCTATGAAGGGAAGAGAATGGAGAAGAGGGCATGAATAAGTAGATAAATAGTAAATTTGCTGTAGATGTGTGATAGCTTTCATGGTAGACGCAATAAATGTGTGTAGGGCAGTTGGAAGTGAGTGAAACTAGTTCGATTGGACCTTATGGCTGCGTACAAATGCGATGTCTAACATTCTAATTTTTGTCTTTCCTTGTGCTTTTATTTGCATAACATGTTGATCCTTAGCATCTCTTTTTGTTTTTGTTTCTAATATACAAAAATGCAGGTTTTGGTTAATTTTCATCTGTATTTATACTCATTTACGCTTTCGACAACATCATTTGTTTCGCCAACTTGTGCAAATAAAATTATGATAAACATGTTTTTCTGGAATTATTATTATTTCTTGCACTAATGATTTTAGCATTTCAATGATGTTGCTTTGACACTGAATATTTAATTTTATGAACTTTTCAAGGCGACAATATCCTTGTGGCTACGCCGGAAATTTGAGCAACTTGAATTAGGCGTGGAAAATCATAGTTCACACTTGAAGGAATATTTGCAGAATTTAATGAGGCTCGCTAGGTACTGCAGAATTATTAGTTAAGCGAACAGCTGTTGTGTAACGTATATTTGAAACCTGTTATTTTACGGTATAAAATGAGGAAATGATTAAACTTTTAAAGATGAAAAACTGAGCATATGCTTTGAAAAAATCGTCCAACCTTTAAAGTTTTACAGAAACACAAAGAGATTACATATTGAAACTTGCGATATATACAAACAAATATACATATGTGCATATCTGCGTCATTATTACAAAAGTCGTAAATTAGATATGTACTGGGGAACAAACTAGATAAATATTAAAGAGAACACTTCATCTAATTCTGAATTTCTCAGAGAGTTTAGAACAGCTTTTGGAAGTATGGAGTATATTAGCTCATCTTTTGGTGACCTTGAGGCTGGACTCCTCTTTTCTTGAAACGGCCTTGTACTCAAGTATTGTAGATATTAAACTGCGTGGTAAAAGTGATATATATAGATCATTTAGCCAGTTCTCTAGGATAGGTTAGGTTAGGAGTGCGTGTGTGGCATATTCCATACTTTCACTCGGAGACAAAATTGTCCGTTGTGAGTGCCCTCATTTAGTGAGTTTCGAGGGAGACACGTACCTAAATCGAAAAAGTAGCTTTAAGTCATTACTTTACTAAAACAATTACTATCCCTTATGAAGCCGGGGAGATCCAACAGTTCCACATCTGCTACTTCGCCCAGACTATTGAGGAGGGTGAACCCAAGTGCTTGAGTCGCTTCGTCTGTAGACCTGGACATCGACACAGATAGTGGTCAATTGACTCTTCCTCATCCTCATCATGGCAGCCTCTGCAGAGAGTACTTGTTGGTATTCGCCACCGTTGACGCCTTGGTGCTATAGTACAGTGTCCTATGTTGACGCCGGTAAGTACTTCCGTGGTCTCACAGTCCTCCCGTTTGTTCCACAAGTCATTCGTCATGGCCACGGTGTACTCATTAATTTTCTTAACGTGATCATGAAACGGTAGTAGTACGGACCTATTCGCTTCTTCTATTGGCTTCTCTGAGCAGCATCTGGTCATCTCATTCACTTCAATATTGCTATGTCCGGGAACACAGTATAGATGTCACTCTACGGCTCAGTGACGCCAGCGTGGTGCGACATTTCCATACAATTCCCGATTGCACTCTTTTAGATCCTATTGCCTTCAGTGCCAGTTTTTCTAACTTCCCAGAAGATAATTTAGGTAGGCCTTCTTAAGTAAAGCCATTCTTAGAGGCCTACACAAGAAGGGCGGAAAAAAGTGTTCCTTGCATGCCTACTAGAAGGGCTTATTCATTTACAATTATAAATGAATTTCAATAAACATTTTAAATTGCAACAAGACATATTTGATATAAACCTTAAGCAAATACTTCAAAGATGTATGATTTTTATAAATTAAGAAAGCACTCCAGCAACACTCCCCAAAAACTCTTTGGGGAACTTGTATGCTGCTACAACAACAACAGCAAAAGGCGTTGTCGCACGTTTAATATTATAGTCAAGTAATTAAAGTAATTCAGATTTCATCGCACAATTAATAAGCTTGATAATGATTTTGTTTAGTCTTAACGGATAGCTAAACTTCTAAAATTGTGAATGAATGTGTCTTTCCCATTATTTTCTTAGATCTTTTCAAATAACCATATTTTAAATCAACTCAAACTTACCTGCAAGAATGCACTAATGAAATTCGCCAAACGGACAGCCATTTTAGCCTCATTTTCAAACTGTTCTTTTGCTCCATAACTGACATCGCCTCGCAATATCAAATCTTGGGGATGGAAACTAACGCAAAATAAAGAAAAGATTTATGTCATAATATTTCATTTAAAAAAATTAACAATCACTCACTTCTTACACGTGCGATAATTTACGCCATGTATGAATTTGAGCGTCTGATCAATATTAATATGTTCTGCATGCAAAGCACGGGAGCCGGTAGTATAATTGCGATATTCCGGATGTAAATCTAAATATTTCTCACGCACGTCGTATGATACACGCTCCCATTGTATAGGCACTTTTTGCACCCCTATAAGCAAACAGACAACAGAATAGCGTTTTAACATAAGGGAGTAGTCAAAAGCGGAAGTCGTGCGAGCATATTGACACTTAGACAATAAGAACAAAAAAAGTGAATATACAAACAAATCTCATAAGCGACTAAGTACTCTGAAAATAGCATTGACAGTGACATTTTTCACACTTACATCCGATTTTGAGGCAATCATAATCATTGTAATATTGTTCTGCTGATGCACGTTCAACAATTTCACCTAAGTACGGCCGCCTCACAACGTTCGGCAATCGATAACCGGGCCTACATCGACATTGATAGCCGCCACGCCGGAAGCCCCAACCGTGCAGCGGCTCGCATTCGGTAGTTTCTTTTTTACAACGCGCAGTGTCGGCAAAGTGATTTGGCCCCTTATTGCCCTCGCCCTTTGGACATTGGTTTATGTCCAAACGCTCAAAATCCATTTCCAGTACGGCAATAGCAGTATACCTATAAAGGGGTGAGATTTTAATATGCAATTAGCAAAACCTGTTTGCATATCATTACTAATTGTTTGTAAGTACTTACTTGGGATATTCAATGTGTCTGAATTGCGTATGTCGAGGGTAAATGTCAGCAATGGGCACCACAGCAGAGACAAGCCACTTATTGGAACGACCACAATCAAAATAAGGGCGTGTCCATTTTACTGGGCCTGGACTTTCATCGGCCCCGGGGGGACCGTGAAATGTAAACGTTTCATTTGTGTTGTTGGCGTAGCGTATTTCAACTTGATATGTAGTTTTGGTATCGTGCCTACCTTCTACATCGTCTGGCAGCCATGTCTTATACCACTCATTTATTTTATACAAGTCTGATGTATAATCCTGTGATTTCGTATCTGGAGGATGCGCCCCCAAATCACGTACATCGAATGTATTCCAAGTGGAAATTTTTTGCAAGTGAATTGGATCATTGAAATCATCCAAGCGGAATGTTCGCGGTCCAAAACGTGGGAATGTTTTATTGAAGAAGCCCCGGTAGGATGACGTGTAGGAGCTGTTTGGGGCAAAATAAATTGCTGACGCGTTTATGTACGGATTTGCTGATACGTCAGCGACAGTGGAGAGAAAGTAATACATCATGCCAGGATCATAGGTGTCATTAATGGCTGGGCGTATAAAACGTGACTGCAGTATATAACTCCAAAAGAAGCTGCGGCTCATAGCCATATTATGTAAATGAAGCAGCGCCGTGCGATTTGGAAATATCGGATTGATGTTGATCTCTTTAATGTCCGGCTTGTGGGAAACTGTATCCTCTGGCAAGTAAAGATCGCTAAGATGTTGTATGGGACAATTGTCGCCGTTCACTTTGTCAAATCTGTATTTGATTTCATCAAAGGCATCGCGCTGCTGCCACTCAAATTGGGCGAACACACCCACAACTAGCAGCAGCATAAACAACGTATAACTGCGTACTAAAATTGATGTTTTTGCGCTCAACATGTTGGCGCAGAGATTGGACAAACACTTAAAATTCTACTTAGCGTTGGGGAGCACAAATAACATTTAAAACCGAGTAAAAATAAAAGGACAAACACAAAAACTAAACACCCACAACATGAACGATTACTAATCCAAACACTTGTCGAACTACGCCCTGTTGAAGAATGACGTGAAACGCAGTGGAAATGAAATGACATAGCAAGTGCCGCATTCGGACTCCACTCCATATGCAGTAGATCTATTCCGCTTTTAAGAAATATTTAATGTGCAGCTGCGCAACAACGTTTGTTTTCAAATATCAAACAATTTATGTTCTGGGTTGTGTTCTCCGTTTTACGGCCATTATCCAGCTTTTAAGAAAACGGTCAAGAGAGATATTGCCATTATTTCGTTTGTGTCTCCAAGGAAGTTTGACATCTGATAACTCACAGCTTGTTGTCTCACTCTTTTCTCAAGAAATAATGGATGGGACATATATTTCTGTTGCACACATGGATTGCCTTGCCGCAGTATAAAGCCTAGAAAATTTCTTAAGAACTGCGTACTTCCTTAAGGAAATTTGACTCAAGGAAATTTCTTAGGCGTTTCTTGTACATCTTTTTAATGGAGTTTTTGCTTCTCTTGTGAGCTTCATACTGGCCTTAGTTCATGAACAAAATGCATTTTTACAACGTCTTAAATTAGTACAATTTCCTTGATTTTTTAATGAGAAAAAGGTGTTTCTGCAACACGAAAGATTATTGGTATAAAGTCTATGTACATATATGATTCTAAATTAATAAAAAAAAGATGAAAAATCTATGCAAAAAAATCGTTACAGTGCGTTTTTTAATTCAGAACGGTTTACGAAGGGAGTCCAAAGCCTTAGCAAGTGTCAACAAGCAGTGTTGCCGTCGGTATTTGAATGCGCAAAAACCCATACCTAACAGTGTTGCCGCGAACCTTTTAGTGGTAGCCATATTCCTTTAAACAAAGCAGAGAACGTTTAATACTAACGTTTAATACTAACGTTTAATATTAAACGTTCTCTGAACAAAGGGCATAAAAAGAGCTAAAAAAGTCGTTGTGGCTAACAATGGTAGCTAAAATTGTTTAATGGTATAGAAAAACAATGAACTCTGGAGAAAAAGGGAATGTTTTGTATAAAAGGGCAAATATACGGCACCAGCTTGCTGGCTCCATCAAGGGATTGTACCATCAGGCTCGAAGCATATAACTTACCAGCATGCTGGTACAATATTTATTTCTTTACAAATGAGGTCCGGAAAATATCGAAATGATTAGAGCCGAAATTTCATAATTTATCTACCATTTTCTTAAACATTGCTTTTTTTAATTCACAACTTTTAACAACGAAATCCACCGAATTTTTTTATATCAAAAAATTTTTCAAAAGAAAAAATTTCTTTAATTACGAAATTACTAAATAGCAAGAAATAATTAATTTTAACCGTATTTTTAAAATCTGTAATTCAACTGCCGATTAAAATAAAACGGAGCTCCCTGATAAACAAAAAATTTTCAGGTAAAAGTGTCACCGTTTTTGAAATATTTACATTTTTTCGAATTAAAAAAAAAATCGTGCCTTTTCATGTGTTTTCTTTAACTGCAACTACAAACCGGGCAATACTTAGTAAATTTTTTATGTAAAATACTTCCAGATAGTTGCCTCTCCATACTCAAATGCAATGTAGCTAAAATATATTAAGGAACCATCATAAAATTAGGACTATTTCTGGATTTTTAACTTTTTGATATTTTCTTCCCCAACTTTGACTATCTCGGGTGAAAAAAAATGTACTGAGCTATAACTTTACATTACATAAAAAAATGCTCATTTAACAAAGATTTCAGAAAGGTGCCACACTTACTGTTTTGAATAGAAAAAAAAGTTATAGCCGCTTTTGTGGGTAAAGGACTGAGACACGCTAGAATGTATTTAATAGATTTAAATTGAATTTGCTCTTGTTACCGTCAAATGACGTGCTAAATAGTACCCGGAATGGGTTCTGCGCAAAAATACTGTGGCCCCTTATCTAATTTAGCCTAGGCAAAACTAATATGTGCTAAGATCGGATTTGGCCGGTAACATATATAATACGCGAAGGCCTTTTTTGTTCCGCATAAAAGATCTGCACCGTTCGTTCGATTTTTAAAAATGGGGTGCCAAATTAAAGCGCTTGGGCTGTACATGTGCAATAAGGGTTTATTTTTTTGAAAAGAGTTGCCACCTTTTAAAAACTTATCTAAATTCAAATTATTTACAAAAAAGTTTCAATTATTCAAAAAGGGTATTAATCGAAATAGTTTTGAAAAGCTTTGTTTTTTAATTTAACTATAGGAGGGATGCCACCTGTTTAAAAAATAAATTCAATTTCAATTAAGGGAAATAGGTAGGAGAGGTATTTATAAATCACCATATGGGTGCTAAACAAAATGGTTTTAAGAAAGTAATGGTTTGAAAATATTTCGAACAAGGTTGCCACCTGCTTGAAATGCCGAATTTAATTAACTTATATACAAATTATATGAAACATCAAAATATGAATGTCAAACGAAAGTGTGTTAAGACATCTTTATTTCTTTCTTATCAACGCTAAGACTATTTTTGAGGTGATGGAAAAAGGTTTCCACCTGTTTAAATATTAAAATTTGGGTATCTATCTACGGAAGTATCAAAAGTCTTTATTTCTGAACAATATTTAGTTGGGCTGCCACATGTTTAAAAAATCAAACTCAACTTAATTTATCACTTAATTAAAATATGTATCGCAATGTTAGACAAAGAAGCCTTAAAAAGAGTTTAGCTTGAAAATACTTTTCAAGAGGGCTGCCATCTGTTTGAAAGGTTTAATTTAATTAACTAATGCAAAATTTATGTGAATTATATAAAAACGGGAGTCAAATGAAAGAGTGTTAAGAAATATTTAGTCTGAACATTTGGAACGTATGAGAAGGGCTGCCACAGGTTTAAAAAGTTACATTCAAATTATTCAATAAGTTCGACGAATTATTAAAGGATGGGTATTAATCGAAATGGGTTTGAAAACTCTTTATTTTTGACCTTTATTTAGGAGGGTTGCGACGTATTTTAACAATCAAATTCAAATTAGTTCATCTGCTATTGAAACGCACGTGTATCACAATGCCAGGCGAAAGAGATTTAAGAAGATTCTAGTTTGAAATAACTTTTGAAAACGACTTCCACCTATTTGAAAAGTCGAATTTAGTTAACGTTTACACAAGTTTTATGAAATATTTAGATATGGGTGTGAATAGAAAGAAATTTATGAAAGCTTTATTTTGAAAATAGCTTTAATTAGGCTGGCCACCTTTTCGAAAAAAAAAAAACATATCGATCTACATAAAAGTACAGGTATATGTACATATGTGTACAATACGAGAAGGTATTTTGTGTGATAGTCATTCGATTTTCAGCGTTCTTTTGAATTTCAAAAATGAGAGGTCATATTAAAGACCATAAGCTGTAGATGTGCGATAAAGTTTAATTTTTTCACTTAAGATCTTTTTTATCGGTAAATGGTGATTTGAAATTTGATGAAATCAAAACCCTGCACAATTCGAGACCTCTCTTCACTAAAAAACGGCTACACGGATTTGGATGAAATATGGCACTTTGATCGCTTATGAATGTGACTAATATTTGGAATATTTTTTAGGTTTTTAAAGTTCAATTTTGGGCGTTTTCACTAGTAATATGGTATTCTGCGGCTCTAAGAGCATCCTCTACGTACCTACATATCGTCGTTTAAAGTACAAAACTGGGTATCAAGATAATGCAAAACAGCGTATGTGAGGTAGCCTAAATTATTTTCTAGAGGGTAAAAAAGTTCACATTTCAAAATGATTATCTTTTTTATAAAGCAATTGCGTTTCTGGCTAGTATATTTCAGGACGAGTGGATAGGGATTGAGCCAAGAGCTTTTGTGAGCAAATCCAATTTTTGGCAGCAAATGTCAGTTACGCGGTTTACGACGATATGCATATCAGCTACTCTTCTGCAATCTGCCATATTTTGTTTTGGATTGTTAGAACCAAGAGGCAGATTACTGACTGGTTGCCTATTGACAATTTTTAGAAACCATTTAGAATTTAAATAAACAAATTAATATTCAATAAAATGCACGAATCTATTATAATCAAATTAATGGTGATTTCGTTTATTCCAAAAAA